ATCTGTACATTAAATATTTTTTTTGGACAATCTTATTAAAATAGACATTATTATCGATACAGAGGCCGAATCTATAGTATTTAGAATTTTGGTCTGTCTGTTACCGCATCACGGAAAAACCACTGGAGGGATTTTAATGAAATTTGATAAGATGGTAGCTGGTTTTTTTTTTTAGCTGGTTATCCGGGTCAACTCATAGGATACTTTTTACTGCGGGAAAATATCTCATCTCTGAGAAATCTATACTAAACGTTAAAACGTAAGTAGGGACGAACCCGAGCGGAGCGAGGGCGAGTCGCTTTATAACATACAGCCTTAGCTTTTTTGTAGATAGAACGCCGGAGTAACCGCGGGTTCTGCTAATATATATATGTATATATATATATATATATATATATATATATATATATATATACTAGCGGACCCGACAGACGTTGTCCTGTCTACACGTCTTTAATTTGAAAATTTCAAACTTTTTTTAATAATTTTTTTGATCAAAATTATTATTCAAATTGTGAATCTAAACCATTCCCAGATCCCCTTGAACACACACAAAAAATTTCATCAAAATCGGTCCAGTCGTTTGAGAGAAGTTCAGTGACATACACACTCACAGAAGAATTATATATGTAAGGATATATGTGTGTGTGTGTATTAAAAAAAACGAATAGTTTAAAATATTTTATTTTATAATAACAATTGAGAAACTTAAAACATAGTTGACTATTTGCTATTTGTACGTTATGCGATAACGTGCCTTCGACATTCCGAACAGCAATACTTGTTGAGATCTTGAAAGATTGACCACAATATAAACTATATAGAATCCCGCGGGTTTTTGTACTTAATAGGCATTATTGACAGATAGATGTTATCTTTTATGTATATATATAATTATAGATGTGCCGAATGTTCGGTAGAATATACGAATTTGGTACGTTCGGCATATTTTTTATGTTCGTGTTCGTTTAATTAATAAGGCAGTGGTAGCACAGTGGTAACGCGCTCGCTTGGGTAACCGAATGAAGCGTGTTCAAATCCCGGGCCTTGCACCTCTGATATTTTCATGCGCGAATCATTTCCAGCATGATTATCACTTGTCTTACGGTGAAAGAAAACACCGTGAGGAAATTTGCATTTCTGAGAGAGCCTTGCAAGTTTTCGAAAGACATGCGCAGTCCGCCCGCACTTGGCCAGCGTAGTGGACTATGGCCTGATCCCCCTCGTATTGAAGGGAGGCCCGTGCCCAGCAATGGGGCGTTAAAAAGGGCTGAATACTAATTAGGTTAATTTGGCGAATATTTAAAATAAACTTTATCCTGGAACCGTTAATAGTATCATTAAATGACACAAACACTACCTCGTGTAACAATTATTTATTCACAAGATAAAAAAAAAACATAAATAAACTTTTACAAACCTGTTTTCTTTGGGAAAACGTATCGATCAATTCGGCCGAATATTCGTTTCAGTAAAAGCTAATCTATACTAACTCACACTAATATTATGAGGCAGTTTGTTTGTTTATTTGAACGCGATAATCTCAGGAAGTACTAAACCGATTTGAAAAATTCTTTTTGCATTAGGATAGCCCGTTTATTGAGGGAGCCTATATCATGAGCAGTATTGATTAATACGGGAGAAACCGCGAGGCACAGCTAGTATGTACTAAATGAAAATTCCAAAACAATCATTCAAAACACGATGATGTGGATATGTATATATCCACAAGATCTATATATTTTTCTCAATTTCTTTTAATACATGATTATTTTAATTACCTACATATCAATAATGTCAAAACGAAAGACTTTTAAGTATTGTTTGTTTGTTTGTTTGTTTAAAATCGATTATATTCCCTAATGGAAAGAGGAAAAACTAAGTTTTATCGACATAATCACTAAAATAGTTTGTGCATGTTTATATATTTATATATAAAAGAAAGTCGTGTTAGTTACTTCGCTTATAACTCAAGAACGGCTGAACCGATTTAGCTGAAAATTGGCAGGGAGGTAGTTTAGAGCCAGGAGAAGGACATAGGATACTTTTTATCCCGTTCGACCGCGTTCCAATTTTTATGATATTTTAATTTTTGGATTTCTCTTAGTCCGGAATAGGTAAGTATTAAAACATATAATTAAAATGTGAGAAAGAAAGATTTTTTCTTTTTATATCTATTTAAAACGTACCTAGCGACGAACCCGAGCGAAGCGAGGGTGAGCCGCTAGTATATTTATATAGAGTATAAAACAAAGTATCCCACATAATGCCTCAACGACCGCGGACACGCCGGCGTGTCAGTTAACAATAAATTTCATAGAAATTTAATTAATTTCTTAGAAATTTACCTGGAGATATTAAAATAAAATATGGATTTGTTCCTCTTAAGTAAGTACTGCTGTAAGCTGCTGTCATTAGTTTTAAAAACAGCCACTAGGATAATCTAAACACTAATAATTGAAACTGCTTTGGATTAATCGATAATTTTAAATTTTAGTATCGATTTTTTCAATCGATTCTCTAGTTTCATTCTGGTCAAAATTTCATTTTAATCTATATTATAACTATTTAGAGTATTTATGAAATTTAAACAAGCGATGTCGCGGACTGAGTTAGTATTTAACATGTTTTAAGCAAAAAAAAAAAAACAAAAATGAGATCAACACAAAATGGTACATATTTCAATATTCAAATTTATTGGCAATAAACAAACAGAAGTAACGATTTAATATAATACATATTTGCATTTTCTTGCTTGTTAAGGTTTAAAAAAAAACTTGCAATATGTAAAAAAAAACTTATACATAATATATACAATTCAAAACTGAGTTGCTATCCACAAAAAAAAGAACACTAACTGAGAATCGAACCAGTCGACCGAAAAAAACGGAGATAACAACTCAAGTTCGATTATGTATATATTTATATTTAAACATTTAAAAACAATGACTGTTTATTTTTTCCACAGACTAAGAAATAATATAGAGAGAGTGTCATAGAACTAAACATGAAGCCAAAATCTTTACAATAGTATCCAAATATGAATAGAATATTCAGTACTGTGAGAAGTGAATAAATGATAATAAATAAACATACCGAAAGAATTTTATTATAATATTAGCATTGCCCGCGGCTCCGCCCGCGTTCAGATGACCAAAAGCCAAATTCTTAGGTTTTACATATTAATATACTCTAACATTGCAGTTTTTATATTTTTTCTCAGAAACGAGACATTTTCCCGCGGTAAAAAGAATCCTATATGTTGACCCGGATAACCAGCTATCACCATAACACAGACACACAGGTAACAGGTAACACACAGACAGACGAGCAGACAGACAGACAAAAATTCTAAAAACTATAGATTCGGCCTCTGTTTCGATAATAATGACTATGATTTTCCAAAAAATATTTAATGTACAGATTCAACTTTTAAATTATGATCATTATCATATAATAAAATTCTAAATGAGTCGAATCTGTACATAATATATTTTTTGGAAAATCTTATTGAAATTGTCATAATTATCGATACAGAGGACGAATCTATAGTTATTAGTTTTTTTTTCAGTCTGCCTGGGAACGCATCATGAGAAAACCACTGAATAGATTTTGATGAAATTTGGTATGACGATAGCTGGTTATCCGGGTCAACATATAGGATACTTTTCACCGCGGGAAATTATCTCATCTCGTACACGAGCGGAGTGAAGGTGAGTCGCTAGTACTTATATAAAATTTCGCTCATCATTGTATGAATGTAAGCTATCTGTAAGGCAAAATCGAGAGTAGTACCATAAAAAGAAAATCACGCTACTATTTTAGACTGTCATTTTTGGACGGGCCCTGTCTATATAATTCTTTAGTCTGAGTTTATTTTTTTAATACTTTTCCACAGACATAGATAATAACAATACTTTTTAATGACAAGTTATCGCATAACACTCGGTTATAGATTCACGTATCACACTTAAAAAAACACCACAGATAATAAACATATGGTCAAAAGACGAAAAATAAACTTCATAATCGACTTATATCGATATTAATCGGATCGACTAAAATTAATCGATTCCACATTATTTATGCGTACAAAAAAAGAAGACATTTTGTAAATTATTAAACGTTCATAAACAAAACGTCATCGGAAGTATAAAATAAAAAAAAATAGTAAAAAAAATATTAGCGGTATTGATTTATGTATATTATCTGTAATGCGTTGACTGCTATAGTATTCAAATACGTTGAACAAAGATGGCGATTGTCTATAAATCCAATAAACCACCGTTTAAATTGGACCAAGATGGCAACGGCCTTTTAAAATTACATACCATCGCTTAGAAAAAGGTTTCTAATTTGCTCAATAATCATTGCATTTAAGTAATAAAACGATTTTGCAAGAGTAGAGTGGGTTCAAATCCCGGGTGAAGAACCTTTTAAGAAGTCGTGCGAATCATTTAGAGTTTTACGATGAAGGAAAACATCTTGAAGAAACCTGTCAGGACATACTCAGTCCGTCCGCACTATATGAGTGTGGTGGGCTATGGCTTGATCCCTGGAGTATTGAAGGAAGTCCCACCCCCAGCAGTGGGACGTAATTGGGGCATAATAATTATGTTATAGACATCTTGGTTCAATTTATACGGCACATACTGTTTTAATAGAGTTTCACCACAGAGTACTAATTCATAGTCATCCAACGAAAACGTCTACAATCGTACGGGAAAGACGCTCCCGATTGTCATACTTACTTTTATATGACAAGTCGGGTAGTGGCTAGCTAGGGTTGTACAATGCAATGTTTTAACTTCAAAACAGTTAACCATACAATTGGTTGTGACAACCCTTGAATTTGACAACATTTCCATTAAAAACAAAGGCGTCAACGATCTATATAAAGATTTCTCATCATTTTTTTAACTGTATGGATTTTTACACTATGACACCGCCATCTAATATCAATCTGCATTATTATGAGTAGGTTTATTGGGGTATATTTATAGGTTTTCGTGTAGGAAGTGGAGTAATGTGGCTTCGTAGTGCTTGGACGCGTGCATCGCTCGCAGGGAGTGTCTCTCGCCGGGGTATACCTGCAGGTAGTTGAAAAATTAGCGTGATAATTGATTTTTATTAATAAACTAGTGACTCACCCCCGCTTCGCTCAGGTTCGTCCCTAGGTACGTTTTAATTCTTTTGAGCGGACTCTAATTCTTTTTTTAAAATAAAAGTAGCCTATAGTACTCCCTATAACACCAGCTATCTTCCAGTAAAAGTCCCGTCCAAATCTGTCCAGCCGTTTCAGAGATTATCCGGAACAAACCGACAGACAGACAGAAATAAAAAAAGTGTTTTTCTAATTCTTATAAGTATAATTTCATATGTATTTAGTAAAACACTATTATTTTGACATTACAAACAGACACTTCAATTTTATTTATATATTTTTCTTATTATGAATTTTAAAATGAAATTCTTTATTTTAATATAAAACTATGTTTTCGGAGTTGACCATGATTGCTGTAAAGCATTCGAAATATCGAGAACCAATAATCAAAGTAAATTCGCGAAAAATTCGAAAAGATAGTTTTATTTATAATATTTGTTATTATAAGTAAGACCAAACCTGAACTCTGTGCGGTTTCCCGAGCCTTATCAATTCGGACAGCAGCGCGGCTGTATGGCAAAAGTGTACATTTTCGTCCGCGAGGCCGTGGATTATGAGTAGTCTGCCTTCTCTGGAGATAAAAAGATATTTAATATACACGTTTCAAAAAAAAATTGGGACATATGTAAGTCTCGACTCGCACACTTAGGGTTCCGTAGCGTAAAACATTAAAATAAGTATATAAACGCATTTTTTTATATATTTTTTGTTTTCGGATTTTTCCCTTTATTTGTGCTTTATAATTGCTTCTTGCCAAATATTATGATTCAATACAATGATTATGTTATTATTCTGCGTGTTGGTTATAAGCTCACTCCAACTCAACTCTCTCAAAACTCACTCCCCCTCAACTCAACTCACACCAACTCACTTGTCAGGGAAGAAAGGCGCATGCGCGAGTACGCTGGCGCGGCTGTAGGCGTGCGGCGCGGCGGCCGGCAGCCCCATGTAGCGCTCCGTGTACGCCGTGTCGTAGAGCCGCCAGCACGTGACGGGCGCGCCCGCCACGCACACCTTGAACGTGTTGGGTCGCGTCGCCAGACCGAGGAGGGCTAGGTAGCCACCTGCGGAGTGTTTCTTGTATTAGAACACTAACGTTTCACTTTACTTGAGTGAAATGATTGATCCCCCATACGAACTTCCACAACCCTATTTACCCCCGTAAAGGATGATTTTCGGGATAAAACTATCCCTCGTCCTTCCAAGGGTTTCAAACTATCTCCATACCAAACTTCATGTAAATGGGTTCAGCGGATTAAACGCGAAAAGGTAACAAACAGACAGAGTTACTTTTGTATTTAAAGTATTAGAATGGAGTGTTGTAATAGACTCACCGTAACTCCACCCATGTATCGCAACTCTATCCATATCGATACAGCCGGTCTCTTTCGCTAGCCATTGTAATACTTCTACCTGGAAAAAATGATGGAATTCAAATATATTTTTTTTTAATTTCTCTAAGTAGGATAATTTAAGAAAACACCCTTTTGACCAACAATAACTTAACGGAGCTCATCAAAACCAATCAAACAAGCCTAAACTCAAGGGTGTAACTAGTGACCATTGAGGAGTTCCACCAGTCAGGTCCTGGCCATCACGACTGACCTGATCATCCAGCTCGACCTGTCCCATCTTGCTCTTGATGGCGGCCTCCCATGCGCGTCCACGATGCTTGGAGCCCCGCGAGTCTACCGCCACCACGTTGAAGCCCCGCGCCGCCAGCATGTGCATGCGCAGCTGACGTATACCCTGATGAAGATACCAGTCTTTAGAATGTGATGTGAATTACTGGCACAATATTATATAGATCTCTCATTACGAATCACATAGGATATAATACTTAAGTCGTATGTATGTATACTAGCAGAATACTTGTTGGCAACATAAAAAAAATGTTGGAAAAATAGCCAAATGCATCGTTTGTTTTGTGCTTTTTTAACGAACGGACGAATTTTTCGAGATGCGTAGGAGACGCGACGCGCGGACGTGTACGATACTAGTAGCGTAGTGTGCGAGCGCCGGTACTAATATATAAATAAATATCATTTAATAAATTGTGTACTAGCATATACTAAATTGATTGGTTTGATTTAATTTAAAGTGTGTTTTTTTTCTTTTTAGGGCAACAAAATAAAAGCTTGTTTTTAAAAAGTTTTTTTTTTAACATTAATTTAATTTTAATTTTTTAGTTATGTATTTAATGTGACATTCTCCTCAACAAGCCCTTTCAATTGATACCCCTACTGTGGTAATGCAGAAAAACTAACTGGTCCGCCATCTTGGATGATCCGCCATATTGGAATTAGAATGACGACACACAGCTAGGAATGCATTGTCATCCAAAATAAGGGTGTAAACCAAATTTCAGCTCAACCAGTTAAAGATAACTGATTTAAAATCCAGTTGCAACGTTAAACCCGGACAGACATACATACATTGCAAGTAAAAGCTTGTAAAAACGTGCTAATAATGGTAAATAATACGCCGCTCGGATCTATAACATTCTCTCTCTCTCCGCCACTCACCCGGTAGCTGTTGGTGACGGTCTGCACCTCGGGCCCGCCGTACACGTGCAGCACGGTGGGGCGGCGGCCGCGCGCGGCGCAGCGCCACAGCGTGCAGTAGGCGCGCGCGCCGCACGCCAGCCGCGCGCACAGGATCTGCGGCGCCGGCACCTCCCCGCCGCCGGCGCTCAGCGACCGCTCTGCGAGGGGCGGTACAGGTTTAATTCGACACGTATTGTGAGCTACATACATGTGGCGAATGCACGTTGGTATCTTAAATCTTATATAAAAGTACTTATAATAATATGTCTAATTGAATATAGTTTATTTCATTTCATATCACGTCAGCTTCATCTAGTGATCGTTAACTGTCAAATTCGAGTCGACGTCGTGTCATTCCTATTTAGTTATCGCTAACTGTCAAACGCGAACACGTCACACCCACCCAGTGATAGATGACTGTCAAATGCAAATCAAGATCTCGTCACACCCTATCCAGTGAGTTAGTATAAATATTGATGACAAACCTTTAATTAATAAAAATAATCCTAGCATCCTTAACCACACAATAAGAATTCGGAAATTATCTTGTGACATCAAATAAATTAATATTTAATTAATTAAACGATTAAACACTGCCATTTCCACAGACATTGTTTAAACGCAAAAATATTAATATTTCTCATAATGTAAACAACGAATCAAAAAATAACATACATCGATAAAAAAATAGACAATCCCGTCCCATGCAAAAGGTCTCTTAAAACTGTCACCAATTGTGTTTAGGTAATTAATTATTCTAGTTGAAATAAATATACAACAATATAAATTGAACCTTAAATGCAATGCTTAAAGTGGTTTTTTTACAAAAAAAAAACTTAAGAGCGCGCCCAAATGTTCAAATGAGCGCACATCCGGTGAGGACATTTTTTGTCGCTGATTGTGTATCTAGTATGTACTTTTTTGATCGATGCACATATTCTTATATATAAAAAGTAGCATTGCCCGCGGCTCCGCCCGCGTTCAGATGTCCAAAAACCAAATTTTTAGGTTTTACATATTAGTATACATTGCAGATTTTGTATTTTTTTTCTCAGAAATGAGGTATTTTCCCGCGGTAAAAGGTATCCTATATATTGACCCGGACAACCAGCTATGACCATACCAAATTTCATCAAAATCCCTCCAGTGGTTTTCCCGTAATGCGTTAACGACAGACAGACAAAAATTCTAAAAACTATACATTCGCCCTCTGTATCACTAATAATGTTTATTTCAATAAGATTTTCCAAAAAAAAAAATTTAATGTACAGATTCGGCTTGGTTACAAATTTATTATATGTATAGATAATACTTTACTATACATTTTATGGTGAATATATATATTTAAACACAAACCCACCTCTCACGAGCAAAGTCGTGTCGTTGTCCTCGTCGCCGTCCCCCGACCGACTGTCCCACGAACCGTTGAACGAACGTGTGTCCGACGACTCTGTGGGGAATAGAATAACATACTTTACACACACATAATAAATCCTAGTTAAACCCTTTAAATTTCCACCTACCTTACTCTTTACAATTTGCTTAAAGGCCCGTGTATAGTACAAATTACCTTCGTAATTGTAGAGAATTAAATAATAAACAAAATCATGTCCAAGCGTCACGTCCGCCACAACACATACCTCAACGACACAGTATTACTTTAGATACCTAATTACCATACAACAAAAACTATCCCACTAACACTTGGCTATGGCCCGTGTTAGCTGAGTATACCGGCAAAGCCGAGGTTTTTAAACGAAAATGAAATAATAATAATAATAATCTTTATTATACACCCAGTAAAGAAGAGAGAAAACAAAATACAAAAATATTGTAAAATGTACAAACGTAGACTTATTGCTAAAAGATCGATCGCTTCCAGGCAACCTTAAGGTGTAGGAAATAACACTCAGATAGTATTTGATAGATATCACATATTTACTATCATGCAGGCAACATTGACGAGATTTTTAGAAGAAAAAAAATATACATGCAAACGATATAATACTTTTTTTACATTTACGCGAATATTTGACATTTTAAATAATACTTACTATCTTGTCAAGTTTTTTTCGCGGATCAAAATATACATATTTACGGAAAAAAGATCGAATCGAAAAGGTAGTATTATTTTAAACGATCATGAAAACACTTAGAAGAATGTGTGTTCTAAAACAACTGACATGGAAATCCTGAAATCAAATAAATAAATATGTCGGGACATTGAACACAGCACCATCTAGTTCCATGGTAAGCTACAAGGCCTGTGTTATGTATGGGTACCAGATAGTTGATACACTACACATATGTATATAACATTAGATACATATTATAAATATAAACACCCATGACTGGAGTACAAGCATTCGTGGTCATTACACAAATGAATGTCGCCAGCGGGACTCGAACCCGCGACCGCTGGCACAGCAAGTAAGGGCACTACAAACTGAGCCAAACGTGTCGTCAAAAGTGCGTTCACCTTGTCGTGGAGGGGGCTCATTAGCATCCGGCAATCCAGCCGGGCGCGAAGTCAAAAAAAGCACCGGGAGGTGTGAGGTATGCCGTGCGGGTTGCTCCTGGTACTTTATGATATGTATATATTTAAAGTTTTATATGTACAAAATGTGTAGTGTATCAACTATCTGGTATCCATAATACGCGACTCGTAGCTTACCATAGAACTAGATGGTGCCGTGTGTTAATGTCCCAACATATTTTGAGTTAGATTAACTAACTCTCACCTGAAGCCGCCCTCTCCACGAGGGTGCCGTGCGGGAGCAGCGCGGGCGCGGGCGCGTGCTGCACGCGGAACACGCGCGTGCTGGGCGGGCTGCTGATGTTAGACGACGTGACCACTACTGTGGAGCACTCCTGTAGGAAAGAGGGGATAATATTATTATTCACCAGAAATATAAGTTATAGCGACTCAGGTTCTTCCCTAGAAAAAAACATATCTATACCACGGGAACCGTACATTTTTCCGGGATGATATATAGATTATAGCCTTCCTTAGTAAACGGGCTGCTTAATGCAAAAAGATTTTTTTAAATCGGATTAGTAGTTCCTAAGATTAAGCGCGTACAAACAAATAAACTGTTCTCCTTTATAATATTAATAAATAAATTCTAAGATTCTGACTAACCTCGTCCATATCAACAGTATGCGAGTGTCCCACAGTAGTGAGCAGTGTGAGCTCTCCGGTCGGCGGGTTGTACGACGTCACGTACAGGTGGCGTTCCAGGGGCGTCTCGCGGAGCCCTACGAAGTACACTAGGCCTCTGGCTTCGTCCACCTGGAATGATGGAGATAGTAGTAAATTTGCAAATCGATATATATAGTTTGAAGATTCATTTTCACCTATACATATAATAAAATTGTAACTAAGCCGAATCTGTACATTAGATATTTTTTGGAAAATCTCATTGAAATAAACATTACTATCGATACAGAGGCCGAATCTATAGTTTTTAGAATTTTTGTCTGTCTGTCTGTTACCGCATCACAGAAAAACCAATGGAGGGATTTTGATGAAATTTAGTATGGTGATAGCTGGTTATCCGGGTCAACATATAGGACACTTTTTACTGTAGGAAAGTGTCTCATTTCCGAAAAAAAATACAAAAAAATTGCAATGTAAGAGTATACTAATATGTAAAAACTAAGAATTTGTTTTGTGGTCATCTGAACGTGGATAGAGCCGCACGCAATGCTAGTTTTCATATAAAAATAAAATTTGTTTTTTATTTTATTTATTAGACAGTTCCCAAATTCCCCTTCTCAGAAAGAGGGAATCCATGATACGCGGATGATACGAGGTTGATACGCGGATGATACGCGGTTGATACGTTCTAGTGGACATAGTAGTCCGTGTCATACTTGTTTCACGATGGTATGAGACGGTGTAGTGGACAGACTCCTTAACCTACCAAACATACCCATAACTAAAACAACACAAATCTCACCCATATCTTCCTCCCCATGACCTCCCACTCCCCGCTGGTGATGGCGTGCTTGCTGATGATGACGGGCCCCAACGCGTTGGACTCGTCCTCAGTTATCATGTCCATCACCGCTGTTGATGAGAAATCATTTAAATGAAATTCACACAGGTTTATTTAGCCAAATAAATTAAAGTATATAGCATCAGCTAACGCTACAATAAACAAACGCCCCACAAATATAATTTTTGGGGGTATTTCACGTGAAGCGGATAACGAAAAAAAAGTGAAGTTCTGACATTTGTTCATATTAGGCATATTTGTACTTCTAGGGGATATGTGCATTGTACATCTATACAGATAAATAAAATTGAATGGTCGTGTCTGTTTGTATGTCAAAATAACAGCGTTTTACTAAATGCATATGAAATTATATACTGTACTTATAAGAAAAACACATTTTTTTCATTTTTTGTCTGTATGTTTGTTCCGGATAATCTCTGAAACAGCTAGACTGGTTTTGACAGGACTTTTACTGGAAGATAGCTGATGTTATAGGGAAACACATAAGCTACTTTTATTTTAGAAAAAGAATTAGGGTTCCATTCAAAAAATTTAAATGAGTGAGACGCCAGTGTACACATAGTATTGTTTGAATTATTGTTCTAAAGAATTGACCTGATTGACGGAAGGGTCTATTTGGTTTTTTTCCATATTGAAATATTAAAATAATGAAATAATAAATGCAGTGTTTGTGTAGAAAATTTACTGTTATTTTTGTTGTGTTTGTGTGTGTGTGTATGCATGTGTGTGTCCGCGCGTGTGTGTGTGTGTGTACGTGTGCCCGTGTGTATAGGAAAATTCCCAAGTTATGGTGACCAAAGTGGTCTTCCGTGTGATGAATGATGATGAAGATGACGTCTGATCTGATGATGAAACCACTCACAAGTGGCCCTCTTCACGGGCATGGCGCAGGTGACCAGGTACAGGTGCAGGTGGCCGGTCTCTTCGGAAGCCCAGATGAAGGTCATGGTCCCTGGAGACGAGGGCAGGAAGTGCAGGATATCGTGCACGTTCACCCACGCGTCGGGCGCAGCTTCCGATATCAGGACTTGGATGTGCTGTGGAGGAAACGGTTATGGCATATTTTTTAAAGTGAAACTATTTTAGAATAGTTGTGATTTGGAACTTGATGAAACGAAAATGTTGCATTAGAAAGAGAAAAACACATAAATATATAGGGATTAAGCCCGTGAGAGAATGAGATAGAATACACAGGAAATGAAAAATAATAATAATAATACTGAATAATATGTAATAAATAAAAAAAAACTATATTAACTTATAAAGTGCTAAATGGTGTCAAGTTTTATATGTATAATATGTATATGTATGTATGTATCTATGTAGATCTCTTTAAGATTGTTTGCACCCTTTCCTTCTCTCTTTCTTTCTCTCTACCCAAACGTTGCCTAGAATTGATCGCTCTCTAGCGATAAGGCCGCCTATTGTACTATTTCTATTTAATCGGTTTTCAACTATGTAATGTAAAATAATGATGCAATAAAGAAAATTTGATTTTGCGCAACCATTGTCTGCCAGTGTATTTCTTTGCTTCTATACTGACCCACCCCCACTCCCCCGCCAGTGGCACTAACTCACCTCGTTGCCCCCCTCCTCCCCCACCAGCGGCGGCTGCAGAGCTTCGGGCGCGAGGGCATAGCGCCCGCGCAGGGCGAAGGCGCTGCGCGGCACCAGCGCCAGCTCTAGCCGCTGCTGCTTTCTATCCAACAGCTGGACCCACACGCTAGAAGAAAAAAAAATACTTACATAGGCTCGGTTAAAAAAAACGGTTAGCTTCAGAAATATGATGGTTACTTCATAGCTCGTTCATTACTTATTCATTACTTTAAATAACTCACTAATTGCCACACGGTGTCCACCCAACCCTCGCCAGGTACTCGAACCAATGGAAGGTCTCCTTTAACGACTGCTTCAATTCATACCATCTTATGTCTGTTACTTCCATTGAGTCACTCGACTCTTGTGCTGGAAATGAAAAAAAAATAAAACTTGTTAATAAGATTTCAAGTAAGATTTTAGCAATTTCTAAATATTGGAATGTTGTGTGTGAAAGTTATATATGTGTAGTGTATCAGCTATCTGGTATCCATAACACGAGCCTCGTAGCTTACCATGGAACTAGATGGTGTTGTGTGTTAATATCCCAACATAATATTTATTTATAGGACAGTTGGTAATAATTTGCCACAAGATGGTTTTAACTTCAAGACTGTTCATGGTGAAACTTATTTTATAGATTTTTATACTCTACTACTACTGAGTACTTATTTTATACATGGCAGGATTCGAACCCGGGATCTCTTAATCTTTATCCCTACATGTTAACCACTAAGCCAACGAGGATAATATAATAAAAAAAATCAAGTTTCTATGGTAATGTGGTAGAAGTGAAACTTCATTGGTTATTTATATTTCAAATCTGTAAGATATAATATTTTATCTCTTTCTATCTAACTGGATTCTTAAATCTATCGCATATACCTATATATCATTTTTCAAACAATAACAACGGTTATTATGGCAACCTAATGCAAGCGGTTTCTATGGCAACTAGTTATAGTTGCCATAGAAACCGCATATCCGAAAATCCGGAAACCGAAAATCCGTCAGGATTTTCGTGACAATTTCACATGACGCGACCTTGAAATTTACCACGCATGCGCGCAAAAAAGATTCACTTCAACAAATATAAAATTAAAAGTTCTATTATATACTGTATGATGTGATACATACGTTGTGAGGAACGCCCCGACTGACCCTCCTGATAAAAGTCTAACACTGTTTGGTTGACGGGGGCCTTTTGTAATTTGAAAGTGACTAATTTTAAAATCGATTTCGCATTCGGTGTGCCGGCTCGGGGAAACCTGAAAAACATATATGAAATATATAAAAAAAAAACATTAAACTCAAATGTACATTGCATAATATATACTTATTATTTACAGAACCGTCGAGAATTAAAATAAAATATCGATATATATCTTTATTCAAATAGATTTTTACAAGCACTTTTGAACCGTTAATTTTACGCACAGGATGCAAGAGCATAGAGGTAGTAAGTAATAAAAAGTGTCGTGACGATCGACACATTACACTTGTTTCTTCCATCTACCTCTCATTCGCCAAGTAAGCCGAATAACGTACAATAAGGAACTTGTACTGAACTTCTAGATACACAATCAGCGACAAAAAATGTCCTCATCGAATGAGTGCTTATTTGAACATTTGAGCGCGCTTTTAATTTAGTTTATTTTTTTCTGGAAATAACTTTAAGCATTGCATTTAAGGTTCAATTTACATTGTTGTATATTTATTTCAACTAGAATAATTACCTAAACACAATTGGTGACAGTTTTAAGAGAACTTTTGCATGGGATTGTGTATCTAGTACTGTCTTGGTCTATGATGTCTTACCTAAATTCTTCGACTTCTCCACTAGAACTCTGAGAAGATGGGAAGCTGAATATTTTCACATCACTCTCATCCACTTCTTCATACACTATCCGAAATACGTCGTCTGTGGAAATAAACGTTATCTATATAAATAAAAATGAATGTTTCTTTACATTTCTATTATATTTATTTCTAAACTATTCATCCGATTGTGATGAAACTCTGGTGAGTTGTTTTGATTACGCCCAAAAAGGTGCTTGGCTTAAAAAATAAATTTTTATTTGTATATTTTTTTTTTTCTGGAAATAACTTTAAGCATTGCATTTAAGGTTTAATTTACATTGTTGTATATTTATTTCGACTATAATAATTACCTAAACACAAATGGTGACAGTTTTAAGAGAACTTTTGCATGGGATTGTGTATCTAATACTGTCTTGATCATTCGTTTTTTAACCAACAAGGGTAAGCTAGTGTTTAACATTAATTTAAGGATTTCCAATCAGAGTGACATTTATCCCAATTTGTTTTCAAGGAAAGAATGATTGTTCCCACGGGATAAAAATTGAAAAATGAACGGCTTGAACGAATTCACGAGATTTTTATAGATGAATCGTCAAAGGAGGGGCCCTTTGCACTGAAACGACTTGACAGATTTTGATGAAATTTAATACACAGATAGGCTATAACCTGGAGTAACATATACTTAGGCTTCTGTAAATCACCTAGGTATTACTTTACATATATATTTTGGTTTACCATCTCTCGTAGGCTGCCACCAGAAGCCCGTATACCTAGAGAACTCCTCCTGCGTGACGTAACACGGCACGCCGGCCTGGCATGGGTCGTCTGCTAGTCTGTAAACATACTTATTTGTATTATTGGTCTAAATTTAAATAATAAAAACATATATAAAAGTAAAGGAATATGTTGGGACATTACCACATAGCACCATCTAGTTCCATGGTAAGCTACGCGGTGTGTGTTATGGATGCCAGATAGTTGATACACTACACAGATAATTTAACTTTAAAATACATATATATTATAAATAGGCAGTTTGAACACGCTAATCTCAGGAACTACTAATCCGATTTAAATAAATCTTTTTGAATTAGATAGCCCGTTTATCAAGAAAGGCTTTAAGGAGTTTAAGGCCGTTTAAGGAGGAAGCTATATATCATGATGCTACTAACCAAGGGAGCGGAGTAGCAATATAAATGTCAACAAATCGGACAGACTTCCATACATTATTGTAAAACTGATGTTTATATAGGAAGATTGAACGCGGGCGAAGCCGCAGGTATTGCTAGTAGGAAAATAAAATTAAATAGTAAAGTTATCGCCCTAAAGTCTAAGCAAAAGAAAAAAAAAACTCACCGCTCATCTCGTCCTTTACATGCATATGTTAATCTTGCCGGCCGTTTGAGAGTATCACCGGCTAGCCAGATATCTCCTCGCGCCGCGTGCGCTACCAGCGAGGGCCTGGAGGGACACATTGCTGGGGTGAGAGGGGCCCCCCAGCCTGTGCTGAGGGCCCGGGGGACTAGAGGAGGTGACTGAAACAACATAATACTAATATTACGAAAAGGCAGAGTTTTATTTATGTGTTTGAACGCGCTTATCTCAGAAACTAATAATCCGATTTGAAAAAATCTTTTTGTATTAAAAAGGCTGTTGATTGAGGAAGGCTATATGCTATATATCATATAGTCTATCTATTTCATACTAGCCGTTAAAACGTACCTAGAGACGAACCCGAGCAACGAGGGTGAGCCGCTAGTAGCATAAAAATGACAATAATGTACTGACCAATTTCAACCCTGGTAGCCAATCTTCTGAAACTAGCCGCAAAGCCACAGAAGATATTATAGTGCATAAATATGCACACAGATACAAATGTACTTTCTCTCTCTCTGTTCTTTTATTTTCTAACTCCAGTTGGATGACAATACACAATTCAATTATTGGAAAGTAAGTTCAAGAGTTATCTAACTCGAAAAAGTGATACCTAACTCAATATATAATTCTTAAGCTCTGTTAATTTGTTGCTTATTTTCGAGTTAATGTATTAATTATTCTTAATTTCATAAGAGATTAACAATAAAAAATTGTGATTGTAGATAACATTATAAGTATGTTTGGTTAGAAATGTAGGCCCCTACAGTTTGGGGGCCTTGTATGATTTCGTTAAAATAATTCCAGTATCAACAAATATAATATAAATGTGTGTCTGTCTTAGTGTTAGATAGAATATAGTAAAAGTAACTACTAATGTCTGCTAAAAAAATAATAACTAAGATCCTATATACATTTGTTACCATTGTGTTCAGGAGTTAGGGGTGTGTGCATTTGTTACCATTGTGTTATTTGAATAGTCTGTTTTAAAAAAAAATTGTGTGTTGTTGACCTTTTAAATTATATTATATTAAAAGCTTATCAGAAATCATACATACTTTGCTTGAAAAATTAAGTACTAAGACCATGGTGTACTGTATAAATTATAACAAATAATTTACCTGATTAGGCCCTTCTTCAGCTACAAATAAAGATGATGCACAAGGAAACAACACTCTCCCAGTCTTAGGGTGCAGTTCATATGATGCTATGCCCCATCCAGCGACCCTTTGTCTTTCCCATAGTAATTGTTCTTCTCTGGACCACTTGCCTGATGACACACCGAGGGCCACATTGGATTCTATTAAAGGTTTCCAATCTAACCTGTGAAGATTTAACATGTTTTATATTTAGTGAAAAACAAATCTATCCCACAGGAGCTATACATTTTTCGAGATAAAAAGTAACTATGTGCTATTCCCGACTATAATCTATCTCTGTGGCAAATTTCATTCAGATCGGTTCAGCCTTCTGACGTGACTGAGTAACAAACATCCATCGAAACTTTCACATTTAAAATATTTATGGAATAGGATTTAAACTTTGTTCGTAGTCAATAAACTTTGAAAGTGCTGAATCAATTTAATAATTCTTTTACTAATATACACATATTACCATTCCATAGGTTATAAATTTTAGATTTTTATCTAGAAATTAAAAAAAAAATCAGCATTCTTTGTGTGCTGTCTAAACAGGTTTTATTTTTTATTTTTACATTATAATAATAATTTATATTAGCCAAATCCCTGTGTTGCTGTATTAGGAGACCTGTGTTACAACATATAGTTTTTAAAAGATAAAACAATGTATGGCAAATATAGTCGATCTTAATAGATATAAATCTATTTTTAATATTTTAGCAGATATACTTGATTTTTATTTTTTTAAATAAATTGTCTTGGGATGTGTGTGACACGAGTGGGTTTCTACTCAATTATTACTTATTTATTTAAATTTTTTTACAATTAGGATAATTGAAATATTTTGTTTAAAGTCAATAAGGTCTACAGTTGAAATGATATATTCATTAACTAGCGGCTTAAGTATCCTTGCTTTGCTTGGGTACATCCCTAGGTATGTTTTAATTGTTTTGAGTGGAACCCTAATTTTTTTTCTAAAATAAATGTAGCCAAGTTACTTCTTATAACATTAGTTATCTGCCAGGTAAAGACATTCCAGCCACTTCTCTGTGTTTTTCTTTTAAGTACTGTGTATAATTTCATATGCATTTAATAAAAAGTTATTACTTCAACATTACAAACAGACACTTTAATTTTATTTATCTGTATACATAATAATAATAATAACACTTTTTTTCTCAAAATTATATAGCATTGAAGCAGTTAAACTTTTGAACTAATAACTACATATGTAGTTTTATAATTTGGCTTCATAAGTATTTGTTGTCTATACATATAATAAAATTATAACTAAGCCGAATCTGTACATTAAATATTTTTTGGAAAATCTTATTGAAATAAACATTATTATCAATACAGAGGCCGAATCTATAGTTTTTAGAATTTTTGTTTGTCTGTTACTGCATCAGGTGAGCCTCCTGCCAGTTTGCCCCCTTAGTCCCATAAAAAAAAATCACAGAAAAACCACTGGAGGGATTTTGATGAAATTTGTTTTGGTGATAGCTGGTTATCAGGGTCAACATATAGGATACTTTTTACCACAGGAAAATATGTCATTTCTGAGAAAAAATACAAAAACTGCATTGTAAGAGTATACTAATATATAAAACCTCAGAATTTGGCTTTTGGCCATCTTGGCTACATATATTGGGTATAATATATAACATGGCTAGTTATATTATTATTATTTTAAAACGAATGTATATCAAATTTTCATTTAAATTTATAAATTTACTATTCTCCTAAAACAATCTTTCTCATTTTATACCATTTAAGATTTATAAAATTATTAATAATATCTATGTTTATATAAACACATTATACACAGATATAATTTATCATAAAAAGTAAATACTTGCACAGTGTACCTTTTTGGATCTAATATTAATAGGTGCCACAAATTCTTTTATATATTTTCATTGATTGTATTACTTTGAATATAAAATTAACAAATATCTATGCTAATGTATTTAAAATATTCATTTCTATTGTTCCCTAAAAATATATTTATTTATTTTGTAGATGCTCATTGTCTTGACACTAATTGAATACCACTCACCAGTTTAAAAAAGCTAAAACTTTAAAAGATATGTAATGGTAAATTGCAAATATAATTTTTATTTTTTGGTAAGTTCGAGAACAAAAATATAACGTTGTAGAATTTCAAAATAAAAATTGTAACTAAAAATGTTTTCACACACCTTGCATTATTAGGCTGTTGGGAAGGTGTAATATCAGTGTACAAAAGGGTGATCTCCCAACCGTTCTGCGGGGTTCTAAGAAAGTATATCCTTGTCTTTCCATTGCTAAGTTTCCTAAATGATATTGCCATTGGCACCATCGTTGACAAAGACGATAATTCTTTTCTTAGATCGTGAACTGCCTGTCGTACTTCTGCCCAGCTATATTTCTTCGGAGACCGATCACATTCTCCCGCCGCAGCTCCATCACCAGCCTCTCTCAACTCCATTTTCTCCATTTCTATATAAAAAAATTATCTATCGTAAACGCCTTCTCATGACGGCTCAAAAACAAAGAGCCATTCAATTCATTCGTATAATCTTGATTAATATATTTTTGCTAATTTCATTGCTATATATATAATTTCGGTCTCATTATATTAAGTAATTACGTGATAATTATGAATATTTGTCTAAATCGAGCCAACACACTGGTTTTTGACTTTTCTTGCCAAATGGCACAGATGTTGAAAAAATCCGCCCATTGTCCACAGACATACATTAAATGTCAAACACAGCTGATATAAAATGCGGCACATTTATTATCTGTAAAAATAGAGAAATACTAAAAATATGAAATATATTTTTGAAGGACCTATGTGATTTGTCTAATTTATATATTGAAATTATTCTATTTGTTATGTTTAGGTAAATTAAGTGGGTGTAATTTCATAACACCTAAATAATTTTAATATTTCGTCTATTTTAATAGAATAGACAGCTATACTATTAAATAATTACTACATAAAATCAACAATGTATATAATTACGAAACAAAATCTAAAATATTCACTTTACTTGAAAAATGATTTTTAAGACCGGATATGACAACATTTTTTTCGAAACTACCGCAGTTCCGGCAACAATTGCCGCCGAACTGTCAATCGAGAAAAACATGTCGTTGTCTTTATAATACGTGAACTCTTGTTTTCGTTTTGTCGCTCAGTGGATAAAATGGCACCAGTGTCTTGTGTGTTGCGGACTTGTGGGATATTAATTTATTTTATCATACAAGTGCACGCTTCAAAGAATTTAACTGTGAAACCATGGATAGTGTCGTTTAAAGTTGAAGCTAAATCGTGTTTGGATAATAGATGTAAATATTTATTGTTTGTGAACGGTGGTGAGTTTTTAGGGCATTATTCATGGAGATTAACGCCTAGAGACGCTGATAGAGGAAGTAGTTGTGATTCTATATATCCTAATTATGAATTAAATGAAATCGAAACAGCACAGTGGTTTACTAAAGTAAAGATTATAGTGCCTAAAGTTAATGAGAAATTATATTTTTGTTTACGACACGAGGAAAAGAAAAATACTCCCGTTGGTGGACAGTGGATTCATCAAGGAAGAGATTTATTTTTGCACCCTGAAGCTGATGGGATATCTTATAATGATGCCAATGAAAGGTAAATTATAAATTTTCATTTATAATTATACACAATTTTAATTACTAAAGTGAGTTGGTTCATATAATTTATTTCATATTATTTATACTGCCACTACATTTTTTTTACAAATACCTTCTCTAAAATATTTTTATTATAAAAATACTTTAAAATATTTATTAAATGTCACATGAATTTCTTACTAACATTTTTTATTCCCTCACAATTTATATAATATTTTTTTAAATGTATAGATATTAATAATATTATACAATATTATACAATGAAGTTAAAATTTACTACATACATATAACAATGCTTTTTAATGGCTGGAACTCTGTTTATTATTATTTTTTAGTTATTTCTTGTTTGCTGCAGCAAAAACTATGTACATAAGGATATACTTAAAACTTTCTGTAAACTTTCTTCCCTCTCACTTTAATCATCTACCTATTGCCAGCATTAATAGCAGTAGTTTCTATAATATTATCAGCAATCTGTTTTTTAGAGCTTGCCCATTAGGACCTAGACTTTTAACAATTTTCATTCTTGTAATTCTAGCTTTCTGTGGCTATGTGATACGACTATTTTGTAGATGTAATTGTCATATCAAACATGTTTAGTTGACTGTTTTAGTTATATATTACTATTATAATTTTTGAACTAAAGAACACATTCCCTTTAGCAATTTTAGGGTTCCACGCCTTGAAAGAAACCATTATAGGATCACTTTGTTGTCTGTCTGTCTCTCTGGCTTTCCATCTGTCTGTCTCTCGTCAAGACCCTTTTTCTCTGGAACATGAGTATTAACTTGAATTATTAATAATATCAAATACTTAGTTCCGTAATCCCTTGGAGCTGTAAAAAAATTATACTTCTAAGTCAACACAAACAAAAGATATGGCCATTCTGCCACATATTTTGACACTCCCAAGAGAATCAAAACCTATAGGGTACTTCCTGTTGATCTAGAATCATGATATTTTGCAAGAAGCAATGTCTTATACCTACTTAGCATACTAAAGAGAAAAATCTGAATTCCGTAAATTTGTGACTATGTCACATTTTTGCCATTATAAACTTATTTTAATGTTTCAGACTTGCACTGGTCCGATTTATTATAATTATTTAAGATATTAATAAAAGTGAATATTTCAATTGGCTGATTCGCTGAACCACCTAATGCCAGTTATGAGTTAAAAGCTACATCTAAGCATTTAAGGCAAGAAAGTCAGATGGATGGACGTTCGTCCAGTGGTTTACTGCTCTCAATAATAACTGGAGCTCGCCCTTTAAGAAAATAATTAAATGACAGGGACTAAAAGCAATGCATTTTCTATTAAGTAATGGAAAGTTTCCATTACCATAAAGCGTATTATAATAACGTTTATCAAGTGTGAGCGACCTTTGACCCGCCCTCGTTTCGCTTAAGCCCTAAGTACATATATTTCTACTTTCGAGTAACTGAGATTTCTTACGATATAATTTAAACTCACCCAAAAAAAATAATATTATAAACAACTCTAGAATGCCTTTTTTACAATTGGGAAATGAATTTACGCATATCATCGATAGAACAGATCGATACGTGGTGACTCACCGGCTAGAAAAGCCAGGTACTGTCCTGTCCTGTAAAATTCAACGTAAACCTTCCCCGTCTTAATCCAACATCACTTACGCAACTACATTGCCAATTTGCCACGAGGACTTTCTAAAGTGCGTCTCTTGACTTCACAATCGTCTGGATTGCCGGACAACGGACGCTAAATAAATATGTTGGGACATTAACACACAGCACCATCTAGTTCCATGGTAAGCTACGAGGCTTGTGTTATGGATACCACATAGTTGCTACACTACAGATATATGTTACTAGCATTGCCCGCGGCTCTGCCCGCGTTTAGATAACCAAAAACCAAATTCTTAGGTTTTACATATTAGTATACTCTTACACTGCAGTTTTTGTATTTTTTCTCAGAAATGAGATATTTTCCCAAGGTAAAAAGTATCCTATATGTTGACCCGGATAACCAGCTGTCACGGTACCAAATTTCATCAGTCTCTCCAGTGGTTTTTCTGTGATGCGGTAACAAACAGAAAGACAGACAGACAAAAATTCTAAAAACTATAGATTCGGCCTCTGCATCGATAATAATGTTTATTTCAATAAGATTTTCCAAAAAATACTTAATGTATAGATTCGGCTTAGTTACAATTTTACTATATGTATAGATATATAACTTTAAATACATACTCGTAAATATTATAAATATTGGTTGTTTACGCCCATGACTGGAGTACAACATTCGTGCTCATCACACTAATGAATGCCCTAGCGGGACTCGAACCCGCGACCGCTGGTAAAGCAGGTAGGGTCACTAGAAACTGAGCCAAACATGTTGCGGGACTTTCGAAATGTTGGGAACCAGAAATCTAAATAGGTTCGCGAAAAAGAGATTTTGTTGTTTTCTCTATATAATAAATACATAGTTATGTATATAAAATGTTTTTTTTACATGTTAATTGCAATGAAATCAGTAATTAAAATGAATCTTATAAAATTAATGTAAGGGATGATAAGAAAGAAATGTTAACTGTTAATTTGCCCACAAAGCTTAAATAAATCGGTCAAGTGCGAGTTGGACTCGCATACAAAGCGTTCCGTACCATATTAATTTTTTTTAAAATTTGCATGGTAGCCTTTTTGAAATTCGCCATCTTTTTTTTTATTATTTCTTGCGTGTTGTAGCGACAGTAGAAATAGGTACACACTCTGTGAAGATTTCAATCTACTTATTACAGTTCATGAGATAAATCCCTCTGACGGACGAACGGAATAGCGAAGGCTTAGGAATTATAGTCGTTTGGCACCCTTCGGGTACGGAACGGAACGCTAAAATGTTTTTTTTTATTTACCATTCTGTTTGCGCGCGACATTTGTAAACATCTGGACTTTCAATGGCATGTTCATTATTTGTTTTTTCTTAGCTTATAAAACATTGCCAAGTTTCATTTAAATGGTTTTAGTGGATTTAAAAATATTATTAAACAAATTCCGTTGTCGGTAATTTTTAAATACTAGCTATATATCAAGTATATAGTATGAAATAAAATATGCTACGATATATCAAGTGCATATATGTACATATATATAATGTTCGATTATTGGGCAATTTTGCCCAATTTTGTGAAAAAATACTAAGAATGTAAGTGCCTCTTGCTTTTTTTGATGTCGGTCAATAGGAAGACTGTATGAAAAGCCGCAGGCTGAAACTAGCCCAAAGTGTCACTAATAAGCCTAAAGATACAACTAATATATTACTTATACTTAATACATACTAGGGACTCATCCTCACTTCGCTCGGGTTCGTCTCTAGCTTGCTTCCCCATACAAACTTTCATCCCCATTTTCACCCCCTTAAGGGATGATTTCCGCGATAAAAAGTATCCTATGTCCTTCCCAGGGTCTCAAACTATCTTCTTACCAAATTTCATCTAAATCAGTTTAGTAGATCTAGAGATTACCCCCTACAACGTTACAAACTCACAATATCACAAACTTTACCTCTTTATAATATTAGTATAAATTATAAATGTGAGTGTGTATGTTTGTTCGTCTTTCTTTCACGTCGGAACGGCTTGGTGGATTGGCATGATTTTTTGTGTAGAGACAGTTGGAGGGGTGGAGAGTGACATAGGCTACTTTTTACCGCGGTAAATTATCTCTTTCCCACGGGAAAACACGTTATAATACAATCCAAAAAAATATTTATTATCCGAATTACTTGAAACTTAGTATAAATGCTCTTCAATAAAATTAATTAAATACGTGTTTTAGATTTTTTCGAAATTAATCCTATTAGGAGGTAAAATAGCGGATGAAAGTTTGTATGAAACCTACCATTTTAGTTTTTTTTTGTAGTTTTAGCGCGAGCGAAGCCGCGGGTTCTGCTAGTTCTCTATATATAAATGGACAAAGACAGCTCAGTACCTTTTTCTTCTTTGTTTGTCAACCGATTGTCTTTTTTTGTTTAGTATCTATTGATGAGCTTTAGTGTTATCTATACAAAAATTTTGGACACAGATTTTTTTGTAAAGATAAGTAAACATAAAACAGTTCAAGTTTGTCGAACATCAGTCATGGTTATTATCGACGTCACAAACTCACAAACTTTACCCCTTTATAATATTTATTGTATTATATAACTAGCATTGCCCGCGGCTCCGCCCGCATTAATATGACCAAAAACAAATTCATAGGTTTTATATATTAGTATACTCGTATTAGTATATTAGTTGACCCGAATAACCAGCTATTACCATACCAAATTTCTTCAAAATCCCTCCAGTGATTTTTCTGTGATGCGGTCACAGACAGACAAACACACAAAAATTCTTAAAACTATAGATTCGGTCCCTGTATCGATAATAATGTTTATTTAAATAAGATTTTCCAAAAAAATATCTAATGAACAGATTCGGCTTAGTTACAATTTTATTATATGTGTAGATAAAATAGTTCATAGTTGATCGTAGAAACATATCTGGTAAGGTGCGTGCGTCAGCGTCGTTAACTTTAACCTGCTCGTCAAACGATAACGCCGTTTGAAAGTGGATATATTTATCGTTTCCGTAAACACAATACTATCCTTTTATATTTTTATTATTGAGTACATAAATAAACTATGTATATATCCTAGAAATCTATACATTCTATATTATATTATAATTTTTTTTTTATTGTTTTATTTTGTTTCTTTTTCCTATTACATACATGTCATTTTTGTTTTTATTATTTTATTTAAAATTTACCTTTTTTGTCAAACGCCACTTTTCCTGTCATTATGCATGCAAACTGTAAAATATCATTGTATATATAATATGTAGCCATATCGTTTTTCCAATAGCTAATCTATATCTATTTGAAAATTCATCAAAATATGTTCAGCGTTTCGTTTAAACGTAACTAACAAACAAAGTTACTTTCGCATTTATAATATTTACCTGATGATTTGTAATTT